TTGACCTTCATTGGGTCAAAGGCCAATGACCTTGGCTATCACTTGATGATTTGAAATCTGGCATACGATATCTACTTCCGGTTTTATGAGTGTCTGAAAACAGCAAAATTCGCAAGTTTGAACTGCCCCAACACGTGACCTAATTAACCTAGAGTGTTAATTTTTTCAGATTCTTTAGGTGTATCTCACGCTCTTTCCAGCGAAGCGGGTCATGTACGTCTTGTCACATGATAAACCAGCGTTTATTTCCCCATAACGATAACAAGATCCACATTCATTCCTTATATTTACATTGGTTTATCTTTTGTGATAAAATACGCTAAAATGTTCTTTTTTTCAATTGTAAAAATACCCGAAACAGTTGTTGCTTAATTCACCGATATCTGTCAATCAAGTTCACCGCCCCGCCCCTAACAATATAGTTCTATAAATAGACAGTCTTATTTGGATGATAGAATTATCAAATATTTATTATTCCATTGAAAACAACAATTGTAAATTTAAATAAATTGTAAAATTAGATTAGACTCTAGGTAAAAAACTTGGATCAATCCTTGTTTTCGTTTTCGATGTATTCATACGCCTTATTGTCACGTGACAAACTACAGTTATTGGAAAATAACGCCGGTTTGGCTAACTGGTTTATTGAAGGGAGTGATAGTAGAAATGTAAATATATACAAATAAATGCTAAGATAATATATTAGTTATACTAATAATAAAAAAAAATAGTTTACGTCATTTCTGTATATCATGTTAAGGTTTCTCTTTGAATATAATTTTGCTCTTTAGAGGTTGGTTAGTAGATTCTAGGGAAGATTACCTTTGCTAACTGGATTTCTAATAAAGATGTTTAATTATTATTTTTTGTAATTATTTTATATATGTTATTATTGTAATAAAACATCCTATAAGTTTTATAAGAATTACCAAGGTATTTTTGTTTGATATTGTTGGGAGATGTAAAAATGTTCTCCAGTATATAGAGGAAGACATGTAGATTGGGGAGAATTGAAGCACTCATTACTGATTTCGAAATGTATAAAGATCAAAGGGAGAATAATTTATGCAAAAACACTATTTCTCTATGTCATCTATTTTGCTGTCCATTTCCTGCTCATTTTGTCCAAATAATTTAAAAAATGTAGCTTGAATATTGCTAAATTGAAACAGGGCAAGTTGAGAAAATGTTTGGAGAAATGTTGGACAAATTAATTTTGGAGAAATGTTCTTTTAATGATTCTCCAACATTCTTTGGAAGGTGTTAACAGAGTTGTTGCATGTTGGTAAAATGTTTTTAGAACTGGTTGACAGATTTTCGGTTGACTCAAAATGTTGTTCAGTGTATATAAAGAAAAATAAGGTTTACGACATTTCACCAACACCAGACTGATCGTGACTTGAAGTCACCTGTTTGACAAAATGACATCTTTGGAGATGGAGGAGTATGAAAACACTTGATTCATTCATTAGTGCTTGGGAAACTTGCCCCTGTCACTGGTAGACGTCTTGTGAAATATACAATGAGAAGGGGAATATCATTCACTTTGCTTACAAAAGTGTCCATTTCCTGCCAATTTTCTGCTACCAAATTTTTAACAAGTAGGTCAAATGTTGTTGAATTGTTGTTCATGTTGTGAAAATGTTGGTAAAAGTTGAACAAATGTTCATAGTATCAACAAAATTAAAGACCAGGTTGTCTAGCATCTCTAAATCTTGCCCGTTCTAATCGTTAGTCTGATCTTACAATATAAATCAGAATAGTTAGGTATTTTATTGGAATGTTCATAGAATTGCCTTTAATACCCTTTTGTTCAACTAAACATTCAACCATTTAACCCCATCAAATTTCTGTTTAACAAATTAATATTGTTCTGTATTATTATTGGTTGTATCATTGGAAACTTGTGTGTTGTGGTTGTAAATATTTTGATGAGGATCACAATGGTTCCGCGAATAAAACTTATGACAAAATGTTCATTATGTAAATGGATTTGTCATAATCGCACTTCAACTGTAACGTCTCGCGTACCGATTCAGGTTGAAGTTCTTTATCATAGCCTACATTGACTATCGTGTCACCTTGACCTTGTAGTAGTTAGTGCATTATAACGATCTTATATAAATGAATATATAGAGCGAAAAGCATGTCAAGCTAAGTTGTACAATAAACATTTTATCGTTGTAATGATCAGGTCACAATTATTTCACAATATATTTACTTAACACTTTAAAGATGGGTTCCCTTATTTTCATTTATTCAAATATGTGTATTGGGCGGCTCATAGTTATATCAAACGTAAGTACAATATTTTGCTAAATAAATTTCATTAAGAAATTTTCTTTCAAATAGGTTTAGCTCATGATATTGAAATATGAAAATGTAATCAGCCAATTCAAATGTAGCTAAAATTGGTCACGTGAACAACCATGGAAACGAAATTTAGCTTCTCCAAGTTGATTTGCGGTTTGTTATATTTATTTTTCAAGCCCTTCTGCGTCTACATGCATTTCTTTAGAATAAGGATGCATGGATAATTCATTAAAAACACCACGAATCAAATAGTGTGCTTTAATTTTATAATCCAAATTCGGATAGTCATATTTAATCTACTTGCACAGTTGAAGTTAGTACCTCTTCAAACCTCAAAGATCATTCAGATCCGAACACAATACCTACACTTATATCGAACTATCAAATATTTTATATTGGTAATTGCAAAGACTTAGTGTATGTATTATTCAAACGCATTGGCTTGTTTTCAGCTGTTTATCGAAAATAAACAGCGGATCTTTTGTGGGGGTAAAGAAAACTTCACTTTTAGAAACGACATAATGATAAGCTATATAGCATTTCCACAAAGTATTTATGATCTCAAGTATAAATTATTGTGGGACTTTGCTTTCAGCAAAGTCCCAGTTTGTTATCGAATTGTCAATTCTTTTTTTTGTGGGACTTTGCTTTAAGCAAAGTCCCAGTATGTTATCGAAATGTCAATTCTTTTTTTTTTTTTTTTTTTTTGTGGGACTTTGCTTTCAGCAAAGTCCCAGTTTGTTATCGAAATGTCAATTCTTTTTTTTTTTTTTTTTTTTTTTTTTCGATTTTTACACACCTTCCTGAGCTTAGACTACAATAGTTGCAGCAACCATTCAACATTCACGAACCTTAGATATAGGCGACGATGTGCATAAATATATTTTGGATCTTTTTTGCAAAACCGGTAAGTGCCACAGT